ACTCTTTGTTGTGTATAGTGTAAGTGATAGAAGTTCTTGATTCTTCTGAATATGTTGGAAGGATACATTGACAAATATCACTGGAAAAAAAGTGATACTTAGAAATTACAGAAACACTGAACAGCCATCCAGAAATAAAATATCAGTGAGAGTATGTTCACTGGTCTTTAGTTTTCCTTTTAGCATTCTTAATCACCTATGTCAATAAGAATGTATAGGTAGTTAGCCTTTTTTTAGTATATGAAAACAGATTGTATATTATTGTATATCACCTTTTTTCTCATGTTGCTGAGATTCAACTTCTTGATACATCAAACTGTAAGTCATATATTTCCATTACCATATACTAATGTCTCATATCTCATATAGTGAAGACATTTACATGTTTGGGATACTTGTATTAAGATGATAAATCTACATCAGCCTTAATAGTAATTCCTAAAATTGAAAAACAGTATTATTTAAAGCTGTATAGTTTAATACCAGAAGAATTTGCCAAAATAACTGAAAAATGTTCTGAGACAGGAAATACAGGCTGTGACACCCATCCTCGTAACCTTCCTGGACTAAGCAAAGTGCCAAGTAAAGACCAAAATATTTTAGTTTCCCTTTAACAAAGAGTTGTGAGGCAGGTTTAAGTATAAACCATGTAGAAATACATCATCTTTTGTCTATTTTGCTTCTTTGTTTCTTTTGAGACAAGATTTTCCTATGCAGTCCCAGGCTTTATGTTACCTAGGCTGGCGTTGAATTTACCATGCTTCTCTTGACTTGGATTCTAAAATACAGAATTACAGCTTTGGCTGCCACAAGACGTAGTGATTTTTACCTTTGAAATTACTACCTGAAACAGGAAACAAATTGATTAAAAATATTTAATAGTTTTAATATCTTGCTTCTTGTACCATAGAAGCAAATTTGATTTCGCATTTGACCATTTGGCACTGGATGACCAGTTGATGACGACCTACCTGGGGAAGACCACTATCTTAGTTAGGGTTACTATTACTGTAATGAAACACCATGACAAAGGCTAGTCTTACAAAAGAAGGCATTTAGTTGGGAGCTTGCTTACAGTTTCAGAGATTTAGTCCATTATCATCTGTAGTTGGAGTTTTCTCCAGTCCCGCTCCAGCTGCAACCGCTCAGACCCAAGTAAACACACAGAGACATAGTACTTGTAAACTGTATGGCTGTGGCAGGCATTTTGTTATCTAGTTCTTATATCTTAAATTAACCCATTTCTATTCATCTATAAGTTGCCACGTGGCCTATGACTTACTGGTACTTTACATCTTGTTTCTCATGGCGGCAGTGGCTGGCAGAGTCTCCTGACTCAGCCTTCCTCCTCCCAGCATTCTCCTCTCTGCTTATCCCGCCTCTACTGTACTTCCTGCCTGGCTACTGACCAGTCAGCGTTTTATTTATCAATCAATCAGAGCAACACATTCACAGCATACAGAAAGACATCCCCAGCAATCGTGGGGAGCAATGCAGGCATACATTGCTCTGGAGCAGTGGCTAAGAGCCATGCATATTGACCCTAAGACCAAGAGAGTAAAAGAGAGATTGGGCCTTGCACAGGCTTTTGAAACCTCAAAGTTTACTCCCAATGACACATTTCTTTCAACAAGGCAATACCTACTCCAAGGACACATGTATGAGCCTATGGGGCCATTCTTACTCAAACCACCACAACCACCTCTCCCACTCCTTACTTTACTAAGTTGCCTATAGTTCTTTGTGTTGTGTTGAGGTCTTGTAGGCCTTTCCCAGTCCAGTTTGGAATGTCCATTGGTGTCATCCTTGTTTCAGGTTACATTTGGACAGGCATGCTAGTGAGACCTTAGGGGTATAGCTTCTAATTTTTCTAGGAGACATAGTCCTACAGCAAACTCCCTGATATTTTGGCTCTTAAAATCTTTCCCAGTTACACAATGTTCGCTGAGTCTTAGGTGCTTGGAATATTTTGTATATATAGCCATTGGAACTAGGCTCCACAACTCCACATTTTGATTGGTTGTGGTTTTTTGTAGTGATCTCCATCTTTTTCAAAAAGAAAAGTTTCCTTAATGAAGTGTGAGGACTTCACTTATCTTTGGGTATAAAAACAAGTGTTTATAGATTGTCATTAGGGATTATGCTGCTTTAGTAGATTGATGGTTGTAGATTCTCCCCAAATAACCATGATTTCACCAGTTCTGAGTAGTTACTAGCTTTCTAGTACTGGGCTGGTATCCCTTTCTTGAGTGAGTCTTAAGTCCAGTTAGAGAGCAGATGGTGACCACACAAATATGTGTGGTACCATGCTGGTTCCTGACGTGATTCATAGGTGTCATAACTGGGTATGACTATTGATTGCTTCCCTCCTTTTGAAGCTTATGTGGCACCTTCTGGTATCATGAATACTAGTTCTCAGGGAGAAGGCATTCAGGTCAGTTCAAGCTCAGAGGTCTTTGGGCCCTGTTTCTGAAGTGCATGCTATCTTCAGCAATGGGGATTCCACTTTGGTGGTGGACAAAGACAACAGCAGTAGGCTATATGTTTTAGAACTAGTAGATAGCCTTGGCCAACAGTTCAAAAGAGGGCTTCCTATGTCTGCTATTAGAGTTTTTGTCTTTGGCTCTTGGGAGTACTGTCAGCCCAGATAAGAAACTAACCAAGCCAGTGAAAGACTCCTGTAATTAAAACTTTAAGACACTGAAGAAAGAAATTGAAGAAGACAGCAGATCGAAGGGTCTCCTATGCTCATGGATGGGTGAAAGTATAATTGTGAAAATTGCCATTCTACCAAAAGAAATTACAAATTCAACTCAATCCTCATTAAAATTCCAACACAATTCATCACAGAAATGAAAAAAGAGTTTTCGGGCTCATATTGAAATACATACACACAAAAAAAGGATAGGCAAAACAATCCTGAATAATACTTTTTTAAAAATGTTGGAGGTATCACCATCCCAGATTTCAGGTAATACAGTGTGGTATTGGCATGAAAACAGACACTTTGATTAATGGAGTCAAATTTAAGACCCAGACAAATACATACACACAACTATGGACACATTATTTTTGACAAAGAAGCTAAAAACACAACATTGTAGAAAAGACAGCATCTTCAACAAATGGTACTGGGCAAATTTGATGTCTGAATATAGAAAAATGCAGATGGATCAAAGACCCCAGCATAGGACCAGACAACCCTGAATCTGATAGAAGAGAAAGTGAGAATAGGCTTGAACTTAGCACAGGGAAAGATTTTCTGAGCACAGTTACCAATAATACCAGCACAGGTACTAAGACCAAGCCTATACTATCCTTAAAAGTCCAGTAGAACTTATATCTTGGCAGTAACCTACAGCTACCTAATTGGACTTAGGACATGAATTATTTTAACTTGTTTCATTCGTTTCATTCACAGAACATTTTTTTTCTACTTCAACTATTATAGGTAGTTTTGCTGCATACAGTATTCTAGGTTGGCATCTGTAATCTTTTACAACTTCTCCAAGCCTCTTGGCTTTAAAAGTTTCCATTGAGAAATCAGCTATTATTGTGGTATGTTTCCTTCATAGATAACTTGTGGTTGATTTTTCTTCATCTTCATCTTTGTCTCCCCCTCCCTTCTTCTCTTTCCTTCCTTCTCCTTTCTTATTCCTTCTTCTCTTCCTCCTCTCCCCCTCTCCTCCTCTCCCCTCTTCCTCCTCTTCTTTCTCCTTCCTTTCAGTACCCTCTCCTTGTTTTTTATTTAATGATTTAACTATAATGTGCCATAAGGGCCTTTTTTTCTAGTCCTACTTGGTGTTCTGTATGCTTCTTGTATCCTGCAATGTCTGGTTTTATGTGTCAATTTGACACAAGCTAGAGTCATCAAAGGAAAGAGCCTCAGTTAAGGAAATACCTTCTTGAGATTCAGCTGTAAGGCATTTTCTCATTTAGTGATCAATGAGGGAGGGCCTAGACCATGGTGGTTGGTGCCATCTGTGGGCTGCTGGTCCTGGGTTCTATAAGAAAGTGGGCTAAGCAAGCCATGGGGAGCAGCCAGTAGGCAGCTGCCCTCCATGGCTTCTTCATCAGCTCCTGCCTCCAGGATCCTTTGGGATCCTGTTGGAGTTCCTGCCCTGACTTCCTTCAGTAATGAACAGCAGTGCTGAAGTGTAAGCCTAATAGACTCTTTCCTTCCCAACTTCCTTTTTGGTTATTTATCTTTCATCGCAGCAATAGAAACCTTAAGGAAGACACATCTTTATATATTTCCTTAATTTGGGGAACTTTTCTTCTGTAATTGTTTTTGAAGATCTGGTTTATTCCACTGACTTTGAATTCTTGTCTTCATCTATGTCTGTAATTTAAGATTTGATCTTTTCATGGTGTTTGTTCCACTGTTCTTTTCATGTTGTCGGCCCCAATCCCGTTTTCTTTGCTTCCTAGTCCAAGTCTTCTACTTCAAGTTCTAATAGTCTGTTTTTCTTGATCCATTCTACTAAAAAGATTTTCTCTCAGTTTTCTATTTGGGCTATTAAGGTTTTCAGTTCCGTCTTAATTTAAGCTTGTGCTCTCCGATATGTATTACTCATTTCTGAATTCAGTTTTTAAAACTGAGTTGTCTTTGTCATTTAATTCAGCCATGTGTTGTGTTTTCTTGGACTAAGACATTAAACCTTGGTTTGTCAATTGTGTAGTATTCTTGAGTAGAACAAGAAATGGAAGGTGTTCTGTACGAATGATTCCATTGCATGGTTGGGTAAGAGAAACATTCTGTATGAAAGAAGTATATTTGAACTTTAAGAGAAAGGGAGGAATAGTCAGGAGAACCTTGTTAATTATGAGAGTGCCAAATAAGCCTGTACATGAACAAATGGAAACGGTTGTAGGTTTTTTGTTTGAAATTTTTAAGCATGTTTTACATTTAAGAATTTGTATCTGATTCTGTAAATGTAATTTTTAAATAACTAAAGCAGACAGTGTTTATTCATCCTGTTCTTATTTTTTTTTTTTAGGATTTGAGTTGGTCGAAATGAGCAATCGTAAAACAAAGAGCAACAGTATAATACATGCAGAGTGTCTATCAGAGGTGAGTATGCTCCTTTAATATCAGGTCCTTGCTAAAGATGAACAGAAAGCTAACCATCTTTTTGACCTGGTTTGTTTGTCTGTTTTCCCTTAGCACTTTATAGGCTGCTTTACATTCTCAGGGGAGATATCTTTATAAGTTCCTGAAAACAATGGGTAAAAATAAGTTTCTCCAAATTGGACACTTGTATATGAAATGATACACCATGTTGTTATTGTTGAAGTTCTTGAAGGCATCTGTCCCATGAAGTTTGATGTCTAAAGGTGCTGTGTAACTTTACCCTTTGTATTTGGATAGTTGAATCCAACTTTTACTATGTCTTTCTAAAATAGTCTAGTTTAAATTTAGTTAAATATTCAGATACAAGGTTTGCACTTCTATTAAATATATTCTAAAGTATTTTTTGTTCTTTTTAGTTTCTGTTATATATGAAACTTCTTAATTTCATCTTTGTTTTGGTCATAGTTTGTAAAAATATAATTAATACTAATATATTGCAGAAGTCATTAAATATTACTGTTTTTTACTTTATTTTGGAGTTTTTTAATGTTCAACATTGTGTCATCTTAAATTGGAGAAGTTTTATTTTTTCCTTTTCAGTTTGAATGTGCTTCCTTGGCAGGGGCAAGGGCAGTGCTGGGGATATCCCCAGAGCTTTGAGCATGCAAGACAAGTGCTGTCCTGAGCCACATGCTCCTGGTGGCAAAAGGAGAAAGAAGAGTCAGTCTTCCACCATACCCTGTCCCTGAGTGACTACTGTATTAGCCCCAGATTCAGAAAAGGAAGCACTTTACACTGGCTTGCTTTTTAAAAGGCGACTTGATTATTTTGACTTTTTTTTTCCCAGCTAAGTCTAAGACAATAATTCTAAGACCAATTTGAAATCAGTTACTCTTAACAAATTCATTTTTTAGTTCGCTCCAGTGATGTCTTTTCTTTTTCTTTTCCTTTTTTTTTAAATTTATTTTCACTTATTTAGGTATTTTATTTATTTTTGCAGTTATGGTGGTAGAAACCAGGGCCTAGACATATAAACCTATACTAAGCGGTAGGTTTATCCTGGAACTACAGCCATAGGCCTTATTACTTACCTTTTTCTTTTTTTTTTTTCCTTTATTAAGAAATTTTTTATTCATTTTACATACCAACCACAGATCCCCCTCTCTTCCCTCCTCCCACTGCACCCCCAGCCTCCCTCCCACAACTCACCTCCCATTCCCTCTGAAAAGGTAAGGCCTCCCATGAAAAGTCAGCAAAGCCTGGTCATTCAGTTGACACAGTCCAAGCCCCTCCCCCTGCATCAAGACTGTGCAAGGTGTTCCACCATAGGTAATAGGCTTCAAAAAGCCAGCTCAAGCACCAGGTCTTATTACTTACTTATAGAATAGTTAAATGTCATTTCTTTCACATAATTGAATACTGGCTTGTAGGTTGATCTAGTATTTACTGTTTTGTAGTTTGTTACTTGAATTTGTCATTTTGTTCTGCCTTTTTTGCAGGGTCTTTTTTGAATCATATCCTTGTAGTACTTCTGTGCCCAAAACCTAATGGGTACTTAAAACTACATGAACCTTTAAGTTTAGTTTTCTGTAGAATCCTGAAATTAAAGCAGGTACAGATTGATAGTGACTAAGCTAAGCCATTTTAGGTATGTTAATATCTAGAGAGACCATTGGCTATGGAGTTGCACTGGCATTAATTATTGGATTGGATTGCATTGCTAGGTTTCTTCTTGTCTTTGTTCTTTGGATGACATTCTATACAAACTAAAGAACGTAATTCATTCCTTACATGAGATCAACCTTCAAGTTGATTATACATTGAAATAATTCTCCAATTCATTGACATGTTCATTCCCAAATTATCATTATTTATCTGAGACTAGGTAAATGAATCTAGTTTTATAACTCACAAAAATGCCAGAGTTGTTAGTATTTATTCAGTTCCTGACTGCTAGAAATAAACTTTACTTTTATTGCATATATAATATTTTAATTTTTTGCATCTTATGTTTATCAGGTACAAAGAATTTTACGTGAAAGATTTTGTCATCAGAGTCCACATAGTAACCTATTTGGAGTGAATCTACAATACAAGTAAGTCTAGCTGTCAGCTCCTCTATTATAAATATATTTCCATCTGTTCTCCAAGTTTTGTAAATTCTAGTCATACACAGATTTTATCTTAAATAATGAGGTTGAAGTTATGTTTTATATATAGAAATGCTGACTATTGTGAAACAAGAACACATACAAGTACGTATATAATGAAAAGGTCCCTTAACACTCTTTTCTGTCTATTATCTGATATTTTTCAGAAAATTCTGACATTCTTGTCATTAACATGTGGCAGCCAGCTCAGATAATGATGAGCAAAGTGCCAGCAAAAATAGTTACTGTAAGCCCAAGGGACCTAAAAATTAGCATGATTGTCCGTTATTCTCTACTACTATGAAACCCAATAAATTCAAACCTTCCTGGGTTTTCTCCTCAGGTCTCTATAAAGTCTCAAATGGACTATGTTTTTTTCTCAGTATTCTATACAGGAAAATTTAGATCTTCACAACCTAAAGAGCCCAAAGGAGAAAAGTAATGTGTGCCTTGAAATTTAGCTTTTTTTTTTTTTTTTTTTTTTTTTTTTGCTCTTTCAAGACAGGGTTTCTCTGTGTAGCTTTGCGCCTCTCCTGGGACTCACTTGGTAGTCCAGGCTGGCCTTGAACTCACAGAGATCCACCTGGCTCTGCCTCCCGAGTGCTGAGATTAAAGGCGTGCGCCACCACCGCCCGGCGAAATTTAGCTTTTTAAAGGTATGACTCAGTAAATTTTTGTACCTTAATTTTTAAATTTTTCACCTTTTCATATCATTTTAGGTATTTAATTGACCTCCTCAAAAGAACTGTTATCAATGGAGAAAGTAACTCTGTACTCATTGTTGGGCCACGAGGATCAGGAAAGACCATGGTAAAAAATTTTCTCGTGTATCATTGCTTTAATAACCATTTGAGGTTTCTTTCATCAGATGACACTGACAATGTTTTTCATTTCATTAGACTTCAGTATTCTGTTTTCTATTCCCTTTAGATCGCAGTAGACATGCACAAATTTAGGATGTAGTATTGAAGTTGCTCTTGCCTTTTTTAACCGAATCATTTCTCACGGTGACAAGTTTTTTCTCAGTATTGGTTCTGTCATTGTCTTTTGTCCCTCATATTATATTTGAGACTGCCAGTTGACAAAGAAACAAGCCGTTCTGACTTTGAACTGCCCATACATTGTACCCATTCCCGAGTGTGTGTGTGTGTCTGTGTCTGTCTGTCTGTCCATGGTCCATGGTGTGCATGTGTGCACATATAAGCCATGGTGTGTGTAGAGGTCAGTGGATAACTTTGGTGTTGATCCGTGGTCCTCATGTTCCACCTATTTTGAGACTGGGGGTCCTCTTTCATGTTCTCTTCTCAGGATATTGGCCTATAATCTTTCAGGTATTCTCCTGTCTCCTCCTATCTGTCACCAAGAATATAACTGCCTGCTGCCACACACATGGATTCTTTGGATCCCAACTCAGGACCACACACTTTGCAGTAGGCACTTTACCCTCCATGCCATCTATACCCAAACCTGTGACCTTTTTGGGTATTCTTTACTTCAAACCTCAAAGTTTGGTTTAATCTCTTTTATATATATTAGGCCATTATGCTCCCCACCTGCATTTTTTACCTTTTACACTTTATTATTAACTTTTAAACAAATCTTTAGTATCTGTTTATGCCCTCAATATTTATGTCATACTTTATCTCTATATTTGGTTAGTTAACCTCAGAAAAAAAATGCACCCCACACACACATTTGTTCTTTTTGTACAATATAGGAAACATATATACATCAAAATTTGAGCGTATTAATGTTTAGTTTTAAGGTGCTGAGTTGTATAAATTGTATTTTTCTAGTATTTTTTAGTACCAAATTAATAACTTGTTGAATGGATTTTAGTTTCTAGTAAATACACGTTTAAAATAGTAAATTAAAATTATGTCTATTTTTTAAAACAGTGTCTGTTGATTCTAAAGATGAGGAAATTAGATTTTTATTTTTGCTAATGTTTCCATTGTATAAAGCACAATATTGGTTTTTAACAACTTTTTTACTGTTTCAGACTTTTCACATTTTTGGAAGTGTTTTGTCTCTAACTTGCTTTGGTCCTTGTGCTCAGTTGTAGTTTTCTTTTGCATTTGACTTACTGGAATTTTGGTTTTACTTTTTTTTCAACAAGAGGACTATGTAAAATACGTTTGTGGTTTTAATTGTTTTACATAACTTACTAAATGCCTGGGGATAATATTTTTGCTCAAGAATTTTTGTTTTTTTATTTTCTTGCTTCCCTTAGAATTGCATGGATTTTGCTCAGTTTTTTTTTTTCCCCCCTGGGGAAAATCCTGGGACAAGATTTTCTGCAATTTTTGGTTGTATAAGTGGCTAAGTTATCAAATCAGAAATCCCAGATATCCATGGCTTACTAGGACACATTTGCTTTTCCTTTGTGCTTATTGTGAATAGTACACCAGTAATGAACAAATGCAAGGAAGCAAGTCTGTGTGAAATGAAAGTTTTATTAATGTCTGTTCTTTAAAGGATTTGAAATGTTTTCTAATAGTGTGATTCATTAATTGAAACAGAAAATGGTAACCAAATAAAATGTTTATGTCAGTGATACATAAGAGTTAGGAGGCAGCACACAATGCAATACTTTTAAAAAATATGTCGAAAATGGTGTTTTAAGGGAAAAAGTTTATATGATATATGGATGTTCTCATACAGTTTGGGGCTGATCCAAAGGCAGAAAAGCACCATCTTGCCCCTGATGGGCTTTTTTAATGTTACTTCTCAGCTCAGCTACTAAAGTAGTTGGACAGTTGTACCTGGAGAGGTTGGTTTTGAAGGGATCTAGATCTAGGATACCTGTGATTTAAAGGAGAATTCCCTGTTTTTTAAAATCCACACAGCTATACCTAAAATAGTTTCTGTTTACTATCTTTTTGTGAAAACCAGCAACTTAAAATGTGTATAAAAATTTTGTTAGTCCTTTTGCACAATGTTGTTGTGGTGACAGATAGCTTTAGCATATTGCAAATATAAATCTCTTTTATTGCTAAAAATAGTTTACCAGTTATGTTCTGTTTTATTAAAGTGGTGGGTTTTTTTGTTTTGTTTGGTTTTTTGTTTGTTTGTTTTTGTCTTTGCTTAACTTGTCTAGCTACGCTAATTTACTTATGTCTGTCTTCCTGGAGCATTTATATTTTGAATAGAAGGAATAGTCCTTATTCCTCATTTGAAGTTTTCCTTAATTTTCTCATTTACAAATTTAATAGGCATGCAGTGATAATCACAACAGTTGTATATGGTATGTAAGATACCTCAAATGTTAGAAAAATAGAATTATGTGACACAGCCATTGTTAAAGCCTATAATTAAACATTTTGAGACATTGTAATACCTTCTGAGTATATTTTCATAGTAATTATTAGTAGTAATCTTTTAGTTGCAGCTTTTTCCTTTTACTTTCCTATTGTTTTGTGTTTGTTTGGATTTATTTGTTGGTTGGTTGTGAAACAATCTCACATAGCTCACATTGGCCCTTCAGTTTCTTAGTTTCCTGCCTCCACCTCCTGAGTGCTGGGATTACAGGCTTGTGCCACCACATCCAGCAAACTATGTTTTTTTTCTCCTTATTTAGCCATGAGCAAATACTTTCTTTTTTTCTGTTTAACTAATTGCTCTTCCTTATTTCATGACAGTGTGCAGAGTATTTAACAGTATTCCATAGAATTGACATGGGAGGACAAACTTTTTGCAACTGTTCGTATTTATTTTTTCCATTACTTTTAAGTTCTTTCAGTGATACCGACTAGAGCAAATGTAAATAGTAAATGTAATATGAATAGTAAAAAGTACTGAGACATAAAGATCACATAGGACAATAGTTTAATCTGTAATGTATAGAAACCTTTCAGGTTGTTTCTAAAGTTTATTACAAGTTTAGGTAGTATAGTATCTCTTAGGCTCGGTTATCTTAAGACTTAGACATAATAGGTTCTATATATGTAAACCTTTTAGCTATAAAGTGATTTATTTGCTTATATTTGATTCTTTGTATTCATGGTTTAAAAGGGACAATGGCTTCATTTCATTTTTCAATATTAAACATTTTGCATATTTTCATATTTAGTTAATAAATCATGCTTTGAAAGAACTCATGAAAATAAGAGAAGTGAGTGAAAATGTGTTACAAGTTCACCTAAATGGTGAGTATATCATTATTTTCCTACTAAGAAATGATGCAAACTACATAGGTTTACATATTATAAAAATAAATTCATTTGTGTTTTAGTCTGATTGCAAGTTTAAGAGCCTTTAGAAATGAAATAAAGGAAAGTGTATTAGAACTTTTTTTTAAAGTTTTTTCTTAAAACAGTACTGTCTCAAGGGAATGGTTCTATTATTATCATATTATTAGAATAAGTAATGTGAACTAGCAGGCTGATTATTTTCTTTCTAATTAAATTTAAAAAGCATTAGAAAACATTTACCTGGAAAAACAATCCATGTCAGATATTTGCATCATTTTAATTAGACACTTTTAATTGGGCTGTATTTCAGGACTGCTGCAGATAAATGACAAAATTGCTTTGAAAGAGATCACAAGGCAATTAAATCTAGAAAATGTAGTTGGAGATAAAGTTTTTGTAAGTATCTTTTCACATATTTTATTTCTGGAAAGTTAGGAGAAACATATTAGAAAGTTATTTTATGTATATATGTATATATACATATATGTGTGTGTATGTATGTATGTATGTATGTATGTATGTATGTATGTATAGTGTTCAAATTTCTCATTAAACTGTTTCCCTGTTTGACTAACTTACATGACCTAAGGAAAACAAGAGTAATCTGTGTCCTAATCTACCGTCTTGAGACTACATATGCAGCTGAGATACATATATTCCAAGTCCATTTTCTGCCCACTGCTGTCCTTGGAGTACTGTCACTCTTACCATGTCACTGTTGGCTCTGTGCTGTGGTGATGTGTGCACAGCCATGCACACTTCTTCGTATCTAGAAATTGCATTCTCTAAGTTACCAGTGGAAAGTTGAGCCAGCCATATGCTCTCCTTCCCTGCTTTGCAAGCTGTGGAAGAGTAAAGTCAGAGTGTCCCTTTTATAAGTACTGTGCTCTACCTTCTATTCAGACTATAATTCTAAGCTAGTAGCTCACTATTTCATCAAGAAGAGTTCCTATTAGACTCAGTTTAGCTTTTGATTTCCAAATGATCTGAAAAATTATTTCTAATGTTCCTAAATGGACATGTTGGTACTGTATTTGTGTGAAGTAATGGAAAAGACAGTTCTTTCTGTAGCTGGAGAATTTCTCTGCAGCTCCCACCAAGGACGGCCAGTCCCAGAGCCCATTTATAAAATAAACACACAGACGCTTATATTATTTAAACTGCTTAGCCTAATGGCTCAGGCTTCTAGCTATCTAGTTCTTATAGCTTAAATTAATCCATTTCCATAAATCTATACCTTGCCACATGCCTCATGGCTTACCAGCATCTTCACATGCTGCTTGTCATGGCGGTGGCTGGCAGTGATTCCCTCCGCCTTCCTGTT